CAGACAAAAGACTGCATACCCTCTGCATGCTACGCTCTGGCCAAAATGAACAGACAAAGCAGGGAATGTGATGGACAATGAGGAGCTGTGAAGGTGGGGGCATTCTTCCAAGCAAGAAGATGAGGATGTTTATCAGGAGGGACATCACTTTCACTATGATAGGGCACAACAAGCCAGAGAGAATTTATTTGACACCTGCTCCCAATGGAAGAGAGTTGAGTGAAGTCACCAATCATTGACTGTAAATGAGTCAATGCTGGAAGGGCATGCAGCTCTTTTTTATTTGCAACTGCAAGTGCAGCTTTTCGGTTTGTTCTTTCTTTGCTTTTCCTGCTGCATCATAAAAGTTAAGGGCACAAACTGTTGGAAAGCTTCACAACAGGAATGAGATCAAGGTCCTTCGTCCCCTTATCTCCTTGTCATTGATGCTGACCACCAGTGCATACAGCAATGGAGAATGGATCTTTTTGTCTCTTTGACAGGCAAACGAGTATTCCACTGGACTTGGCTCTCCATGGCAGCTGCCAACATGTCAGCAACAGCCAGACTGATGCATGCCAGAGGCAGCACGGTGCAGATGGCACAAGTGAACTCCTCCAATCTTTGATCCAATCTGACAAACCTGCCTTCTGCTTTCTTCCACTGAGGGATCAATGTCTTCTTCCTCGGAGGCAGCGAGGAGGAGCTGGAAGGCAGAGGGACTGGGTGAAGGAATTATGCCTCTGGGGGGATAGCAGATGAACAGTGGCCACTCCACCACCGGCTTGATTCTCTTTGCTCTGTCGTGCTACTGTCGACCATTTTCATCTTAATTAAGACAAAAGGAGGGACTCCCAGAGAAGAAAACAACTAGTATAGTGTTAGTCCTAATGGAACAAAAACAGGAGTTTCTGGAAAAGCTCAGCAGGTCTGGCAGCATCTGTGAAGAAAAAATCAAAGTTAACGTTTTGGGTCCAGTGACCCTTCCTCAGAACTGCACCGGACCCGAAATATTAACTCTGATTTTTTTCTTCACAGATGCTGCCAGATCTGCTGAGCTTTTCCAGCAACTTCTGTTTTTGTTCCTGATTTACAGCATCTGCAGTTCTTCTGGTTTTTATTTAGTGCTGATGGAAATGGGGGAAAGATGGTAAAGTCTCAAAAAATGACTAGGAAGTGCAGAGGGCAGGAAGGGTTAGTAGTTTGGGGGATGGGGTAGGTGACAGCCATTGAGAGACAATGCCACATGCAATCATGAGAATGTCAGACCACGAGCTTTGGTAGGTGATGATTGCTGTAGCGAAGTTAGAGTGAACGTGAGGAGAGAAGATATTGGCACTTAACCCTGCAGAGCACTACTGAGAGTTCCTCTACACTGAGGAAACAGACCCAACTCTGGTGCAATGTCAGACCAGTCTGGCTGGGTCTGACACCATGATCTCCTGCAGACCTGAGGAAAGCCCTCCTCTCCACCACCCCATTCAACAGCATATCCAGGTCCCTGTCTATGAACCAGCCTGCCAATTTGCTTCTGTCTGCCATATCTCTTGGAACATTAAAGGGCTATTCTTGGTTTGCAGTGTTTGACCTGGTGCACAGCTGAGCAAATGTGGAGGATCTTGGCATTGGAGAGCACTAGTGTATACTTAATGAAGTTAGCGCCATAGAATTGCACTGGAAAACTGGCTAGAGCTCAGAGGAAGAATCTTCCATGAAATTCCCTGCAATTGACACACTGCCAGATTTTGGAAAAATTCTGTCCGAAGAATCTACTGAATGTAAACGATAGAAAAACAAAATGTTTCCAAACAACCTGCTTCAGGCCCTTCATTCTTCTTGGCATTTAGATGAAATAAATTGTTCATTGGGACTCAGTGAAAATCTTACCTTTGCTGCACTATATCTCCCTTTGAAGTTGGGAGATAGATTGTTGGTGGTCCTGGATGCAGTGCTGTCTCTAAACATTAGTGCTCTTTGCTGTCACATGCAATGTAACTGCTTGGCACTTCCATCATAGGTTCTATGCAGACACTAGGATTTTACCGCATCTAATGAGTTACTGAGGATACTTTGGTCCCTTTGTTTCTCTTTTTGCAAGAACGTAACCAACTACAACTGGAAACAATCAGTATAAAATCTACATTTCCTGCTTCCTTATAGAAGAGAAAGCATTGGAGCTCTGAGAGAGAAGTATCACCAGGAACCAGAGACTAGGTTGTGAAAAGGCAAATATCAGTGTTAGATTTGGATGATGTTCTGCTGTTCCTATTCTATCATACCTGGTAATATCTACCAATAAACTAGGAACATAAAAATCACAAAACCCTTGTCATTGAACTTTGCTCCTTAACAACCCAATCTAACCTTCTTTCCCTCTTCTAGTTGCATCTGACAAAGCAGAGGAGGGAAGCAAACCTGGTTCCTTCAGGTCTTTCCCAGCGCTCCATAATACCGCTGTCCATCCTTCCCTCAGTCTCTAGCCCAGAAATATCCAGCCAGAAACATAGGGTGATGCAGTGCATCCAAAAGGGAAGGAGTAGCAATGGATGAATCATGAGGATCAAGAGATGTTAACTTTAAGGAGAAGAACGTAGAAATCCAAATTTCATGGATCCTCAGCCTTAAAATAAAAAACGCTATAACACAAAGCATATGTTATAGGCCAGTTGGAGAAATCCACTCCCTACATTTGTGGTACCCCTGATGAATTACTTTGGAGCAGTGCAGTTCACCTTAGTGCCTTTAGCAACATCAGAGGCAATTGCAGGAAGTGCTCATGTTGTCCAAAAGATCATAAGATATAGGGACAGAATTAGGCCACTTGGCCCATTCACCATTCGATCATAGCTGATAAATTTCCCAAACCCATTCTCCTCCCTTCTCCCTGTAACCTTTGATTCCCTTATTAATCAAGAACATTTCTATCTCTGTCTTAAAGAAACTCACTGACTTGGCCTCCACAGCTTCCTATGGCAATTAGCTGCACAGATTCACCACCCTCTGGCTGAAGAAATTCCTCTTCATCAGTTCTAAAGGGCTGTTCCTTCATTGAAGCTGTGCCCTTGGGTCATAGTCTCTCCTACTCGTGGAAAATCTTCTCTATGTCCATTCTATCCAAGCCTATCAGTATTCTGTAAGTTTCAATCAGATCCCACCTCATCCTTCTAAACTCCATTGAATGCAGACCCAGTGTCCTCAACCACTCCTCATATGACAAGCCCTTCATCCCAGGATCATCTTGTAAACCTTCTTTGGATTCCCTCCAACGCCAGCACATCCTTCCTTGCAATACCTCCTACTGCTCACAATATTTCATATGCAGTCTGACCACAGCCTTATGTAGGTTCAGCAGTACATCTCTGCTCTTATATTCTAGTCCTCTTGAAATGAACACTAACTTTGCACTCCTAACTGCCAACTGAACCTGCATGTTAATCTTAAGAGAATCCTGAACTAGTCCTCCTAAATCCCTTTGCGTTTCTGATTTCCAAAATATTTCCCCTTTTGGAAAAGAGTCTATGCCTCTACTCTTCCTTCAAAGTGCATAACATCAAACTTTCCCACATTGTATTACATCGGTCACTTCTTTGTCCACTTTCCTAGCCTATCCAAGTCCTTCTGCAGCCACCCTGCTTCCTTAATACTACCTGTCCTTTTACCTATCTTTGTGTCATCTGCAAACTTCTCAACAACGCCCTCAGTTCCTTCATCCAGATTGTTAATGCATAACGTGAATTGTTGTGGTTCCAACACCTACCCCCGCAGAACTCCACTAGTCACCGGTTGACATTGTGAAAAAGACTCCTTTGTGCCTACTTTCTGCCTTCTGCCAGTCAGTAATCCTCTATCCATTCCATATTTTGCCTCTAACACCGTGAGCTCTTATTTAGCAGCTTCCTGTACTGCACCTTATCAAAGACCTTCTGAAAATCCAAATACGTCATGTCCACTGGCTCTGCTTTGTCTAACTTACTTGTTTCCTCCTTAAAGAATTCTAATGGATTTGTCATGCATAACCTCCCCTTCACAAAGCCATGCTGACTCAGCCCTATTTTACCACGCATTTCCAAGTACTCTGCAATCACATCCTTAATAATTAGCTCAAAAATCTTAAAATCTTACCAACAACTGAGCTCAAGCTAACCAGCCTATAATTTCCCCTCTTCTGCCTTCCTCCTTTCTTAAACTGGGGTTTTACTTTAGCTATATTCCTGTCCTCTGGGACCCTCTCTGTCTCCAGCGATGTTCCTGAAAGACCACCACCAATGCCTCCTCAATATTCTCAGCTAGTTCATTCAGAACCGTGAAGATGAGTCCATCTGGTCCAGGTAATCTATCCACCTTCAGACCTTCCAGCACCTTCTCCTCAGTGATGGCCACTATTCTCACCTCTGCCCCCGAATCTCAAAAAATTCTGGTGTGCTTACTGATGATTTCCACCTCGAAGACAATTGCAAAGTACTTGTTCAGTTACTCCACCATTTCTTTGTGCTCCATTGCTACTTCTCCAGCCTCATTTTCCAGTGGTCATAGTCTACTCTTACCTGCCTCTTATATATCTAAAGAATGGAAAGGTCCATTGACAGTCAGTAGTTTATCATGCAGTGCAGATGGTTTCCACAGAAATTAGAAGGGAGGGACCTTCCCTGCTAACCTTTAAGCAATTGATTGAACAAGATTGGTGTTTCACATGAAGAAATAATGTCCAATACTTGTGGTGCAGTAATAACACACAAGGTTGTTCCTCAGAATAGCTGCACATACCAGGCCTCATAAAAGCCTCTTTGAACTCTTAAATTTACTATATACACATAATGGCTAATTTACTACTGCCCCATGTATATCAGATAGTATACATCATAGGTCAATTCTGTATTTAATAGATATGATTTGGGTTTATTTTTAAAATATCATTAGATGATGAAACAGCTGCTGTTGGCAGGTACAGAATCTCCAATTATTCCTCGTCTGTTTTTTGCCCTACTTTATTTCATTGTAAACAGCTAAGACTACTGGTTTACCTGAGTTTATCTGCTGTGAAAATCACCCTCCTTTCTAGCAGAAGAGAAGCAAAGACTTTAGTGAGCTGGCGAACAGTCAGTGACAAAAAGAGACACTCAAAGTCTACATGCTCCAGACGAGAGTCCAGTGGCCTGCAGAGCTGGATTACCTGCAGAAAAGGACAGTTGCCAAATCACTGAATCAGAAACAAAGATACCACCAACTAGACATTTTTGACAGATTGTGCTGATGAAACAGCCAGGAATAATCTTGGTCCAAATCTTAACAATCCGATTTATATAATATTTAACATGTAACATGTCACAGAATATAAGAAAGGGAGGTATGCTCCATAGTATCTCTACAAGTGTGGAAACAGGCCATTTGGCCCAACGTGCTAGAACAGTATTAACAAAATCATTAAGACACAGTTAGATCACTTTGTACAGATTTGATCACCGCATTGAAGAAAAGATTTGATCACATCAGAGCGGGTCTAAAGATGTTGTAGGATTAAGGAATTTTAACTGTAAGGGCAAGTTGGGTTTGTTTTCTTTAAACAGGGCAAGCTGTGGGGGCTAAAAATTGAGTTATATAAAATTATGAAGAACTCAGATAGAGTGGATAGAAAAAGCCTATTTCTCTCAACAGAGAGGTGAATAATAAGATATAATTCAGAGTAATTCATAGAAACATTAGATTAAAGTTGAGGACATTTATTTGCTACCCAGAGGTGGCTAGGGTCTGGAATTCATTGCACGAAAGGGTGGTAACGACTGAGAACCACATTACACTTTTTAAAACAGTGAATATGGACTTGAAGTAGTGCAACCTTCATGGATTCAGCCTAAAAGCTGTCAGGTGACATTTCTCATCTGACAGAGACAGCGTGAGTTGACTTGCCTCCTTCTGTACTGTAAATTTGTGATTCTACCTCTATTCGAAAAGTGCAATGTTTTACCACCAGGACAGGAACAATGAATTGTTAGCCATTGTCACTATGATAATATCTGTAAAGTTCAAACAATTTTAAACAGCTTCTGAAAGTGGTTTTGTGCTTTGGTGACATCTTTGTGCAAGCTGTGATAACAATTAAAAATGTCTTGCCAATGGATGCAAACATGCTTATCTAGATACAGAACACGACACCATGACAGCTGTCGTCTCAAACCCTCATATTAGATTTTAGGAAGGTTAGTACACTTCTAGGCCGTGCATTACATTGCAAACAAAATCTTAAAGCTACTCAGTCTTCAGAAATTTTAATTTCGTTGTCCGAGAGTAATACGTATAGAGAATGTATGGAGACAGTGTAGAGTGCCTTATCAAGACAACAGATGAGTCTCAATTGTTACAAGTGCACTGTAATGAGAAAGACCCAATGCTAAATCAAATATGTAGCCACATATATCATGCTGGAATCTGAAGGAGGTAGATAGTGTAATGCATACTAGTTGCTTGGTAGCCAAATCTCTCAGTCTTGTCTTCATTCAAACTGGCCTGGCTGACATGACACAAGGACACAGGAGGCAGCTGTACAATGATCCATTTGATAAACTATTTATTTTAAGTTACTTTTAGTAATAGAGATATAGGAGTTGAATTTGAAATCAAAACAGTTAATGAGGCATCAATAGATTAAAGAAAGGACAGACAGTTGGGAAAATAAAGTGAAGACATTGTAGCACTGGTTGGACTTTGAGAACTTGCTTCTGTTAATGAAGAGCAATTTGGTGAGAGGAACGTCCCACCCTCATGACAATGATCCACACTGATCAGTTTGTCATGGATCTAATGGGTTGCCTTAGGTGCTGTTTCTCAGACCCAGAAGATGGATGATCTCAGCAGGGCAAGAATGTGTACTCTAAAACTTTTGAGTTTGATATCTGCATTCAATAGATTTCAAGTTTAAGAAAAACATGTAAACTTTCTTAGGTACACAATGAAGAAATGCAGGCAACACTACTTTACATTTCTTGCATGATTCTACATTTTAATTAAACGATTGAAGAAAGCATGCGGGGAAAGGGCATAATAAGAAGGAAACATTATAAGGTGAAATTAGATTGCAAACAAAATCTGAAAGCTACTCAGTCTTCAGAAATTTTAATTTCGTTGTCCGAGAGTAATACGTATAGAGAATGTGTGGAGACAGTGTAGAGTGCCTTATCAAGACAACAGAGGAGTCTCAATTGTTACGAGTGGAGACACAAAACAGGTGATGTTTTATTGGCTGCCTGATACACTGTCTGATATTTCAATTCTATTGATTTCAATAGAATCAAAGTTGGACATGTCAAATTAGAAAAGTCCATTCTACCAGTTTTCCATCTTTGCCATGTCCCACTTCACTCACCCCAATTTTTTCCCATCTAATGTAAAGAAACTCAAAGAATATTACACACCCAACAAAAGGTTTGAAGAAAGATTGGAGATGTTCCCTTACCTCATTCCCTGATCCTGGAAGGAAGTTTCTAACAGTGATGGTTCGCCCTGGAGCAGGGAATGGAGCTTCCATAATGCTCCTCATGAATGGTTGAACAAGGGCAGGGGAAATCACTCGTCGCTTCTCCACCTCATCCAGGATCTGTAGTACGGCAGCAAGTATCAGAAACAGATTAGCTTTCTGGCTCACCAAAGAAAAATAAAACCAACTGGACTGAACAGACAGGGGCATAAATTAGGAAGAACAAAAAGGCAAACCATTATGTCAAACATTCCATGGTTGTAGCGCCTCTTACATTTATTGCCCTGAAACCCAGGATCTCCGTGATCAGGATAGTTCATATTCATGCTCTAATATTTTCTGAAGAGAATAATGTATATAAACACACTGCTCAAATAATAGATACAGATATTCTGAGCTATTCAAGACAGCTGTAAGAGAATAAATAATTACAACACAACAGACTAAAAAATATTCAATCTATACAAATGCTGATTTGACATTTACACTTGTATCGCAGGGAGGGGGGCGAGGATTGAGCTGGGTGAAGGAGGACACAGTTTAATTTACATCACTAGTGATAGATTAGATTGAATATTACTAATTAGATTAACTATAGTGTCAACAGTGGTAATGTCATCAAAATCGTATTGAGGAATGGATGGTGGATTGAATCAAAATAGGCACTGACTGTTAAGATGGAGTGAACAGAGATTCTTACACTTCCTGCTCAAACCAGTACAAAATACACATGAAGGATAGGCAGGGAAGGTGTCTGACGAACAAACAAAATGAACACAAAGACCCTATTACTGTCTATCGTGCCATGAAGTGGATACGCATACAATAGGGACTTGCTGTGTCCACTTCACCTTAAAGAAAGCTCACAAAGTGTGGCTCAATAAACGGGTTTATAGGCAACCTAAAAAAAATTCTTGGATTGATGATGAGATAAGTACTCAGAATTCCTCAAGTATTTTAAAAGTATGAGTGAAATGTGAGGAAAGGTACCACAAACACTTTCACAAGAATTATAATGGAACAGTTCTTTGCACTAAGTTTTGGATGACTGGAGAACATAATGTCCAGGCACTAAAAGCAAAAGCCAAAGGAATAAACAAGATGTTGTTACAGTTTATTAATCCATGTGGCATGGTAATGTTACTAATTAATATTCATACCTTTGAGAAAAGGTTGAAGCAGCCCAGCCGGCTGACAATACAGTAAACCTCAGGCAAACGTTTCCCCTTCCCAGTGGGCTAAAAGGAAGAATAGAAGATGAACCCTTTAACCAGTGACAACAGTGTCTTATTGTCATTAGAAAGCAAACTGGATTTAAATATCATTTTAAATTTAATGAGGGTTTTAAAGGCAGTCTTACCAATAGGCGCCTGCAATACCCAAATCGTCTGCTCCCATCTTCTCCGGTCAGGACAAAAGAAAAGGTCTCACTGTTATCGTGGAAAACAAGGAATGTTGGTTAGAGTACGCAGTACTATTGGAAACAATATCCCTAGTAAACACGCAAGCAGAACTCAAGATGAAAATGAGTGGAGTGCTTTACAACAAGTGTTGGAACTGGTGTGAAGGATGTTAATAGAGTCCAACATGAAAGCATCCAGACAGAAATGGAAGAACCAACACACATTGTTCATTTCTAATAGAGAAATCAGGTAAAATGTCTCACTTAATACACACTGTAAAGTTCTGTAAAAATCATGAGACATCTTCATTGCATCATTACATTACTCACTTGAAACCACATGTCAATTAGTGAGCTAGACCTAAGCCCAAAGTTAGCAGTGATTCAGTGGTAGCAATTCTGCCTCAGACAGACAGTCAGAAGGTCATGGGTTCAAGAGTTCCTGAGAGAGTTTGGCAGATTATCCAGGCTAACACTTCATACTGCAGGGTGTACTGCACCATCAGGGGCCATACCTTTCAGGTGAGATGCTGAACCAAGTCCTTGATTACTCTCAGAGAATATAAAAGATCACATGCCACTGGCTAAAGAGGTACAAGGGAGTTCTCCTGTTGCCCTCACAAATATTTATTCTTCAACCAATACCACAAAAACAACTTGACTAGTCATTATCTCATGGTAATTTCTGAGAACTTGCTCTGCAAATTGGTTATTAGATTACAACAGTGACTACACTTCAAAACTACTTTATTGACTGAAGTACTTTAGAGTTCTGAAAACAGAAAGGTGTTATCAAGTGCAAGTTCTTATCTTTTCATGGGCTGGTACAAACACAAAGAGCCAATTACTGTATCCATGTTGTAAAACTTTGACAGTCAATCACCACAAGGTACCTAATGTATCTCACATACACTTAACCTACATTATTTGATTCTTTATAATGCTATTTCATACTAAGCATTGTTTAATAGATTTTTAATGGTGAAAGAGCAAAAGAAAATTTTGTAAAAATTAACATAGGAAGCATTTCATTAAACAGAATAGATGACACACCCTTTACGAAGTATTTGCCTGAATTTCCCAATGACCCCAACCCATTTCCCCCATCCAGTAGTTAAGATTTAATAATTGAATCTAAGCCATTAGCGTGCATACCTCGCAAATTCAGAGACAGGAGCCCAGTCTTTGGCATCAGGAAAACAAAACTGTGGGATGACTTTTAACTGATCTTCCGTTTCTCGCATGAACTTGAATGGTTTATCCAGCTGAACCAGAAGGAAAAAGGTCATATTACACATCATGCTATATTCACCCTCTTCACTCCAAACACAATGATGCACACATGGAGATTAGAATATCTAAAATACATATAATTACAAACACGTATACGCGGCACTCATCAGCCTTCCCATTCCGCATCACATCTCATAATTCATCTCTCACGATGAAATATCCCAACTCTTCCTGACACTAGGAAATATTACATTGCCTCTGGGAAACACATCAGTATCACGTCCCCAGTGTCACAGAATTACTGAATCATCAGAAAGGAGATCAATAACTTCACTGCAGAAAATCTAGCCAAATCTTCAATTTTCCCAGAACAAGAATTAAGACCAAAACATTTGCTGACAGTATTTAAATCTCCACGGAATACGCCTTTTTTAAAAGGACCCTAGTGTCCATGCTGAAGGTATGTGATTAAACTTTTTACTGTTTTATAAAATAGCTAGTCGTGATATTTTGGATTTCCTTGCTTCAAAATTCATTCCAGTGACGTCACTAACACAGACCAGCCACCTATGCCTGTCACTTCAGCGGACTCCAAAATTCCTCATCAGTCTGGCAGCCAGACAAAGATGCTTGACTCTGGGATAAAATAGTGCTAGCAACGTAAACAGCATTCCCAAAAGTTCTGTAGTGTGAGGTGGTTTCAGCTCAAATCCCAGACTGAAATTCCAGTTACAGTGACTGTTCAAAATAAACACAGTTATTCAGGGAATTCAATAAATCAGAAGAGACATTAGGTTGAAATGACGGATGTCTGCTGTAGATGAATATTAAGTAAATATTTCTATGGGTATGTGTTAAGAGGAGCACTTGAAACAACTTAAAGTTCCTCAAATTTTCCTTTTTGTCTTAATGTGTTGATGTTGAGTCAGTGATTACCGCTCTCCCATTTGATGTCATTACAACAGAAATTCCAGGAATTGTTTTAAGAAGTTGCAAATTGTTCCACATCCCAGAGCATTGGAGTAGCGTGGGCAAAAGGTCCCTTCTTTCTTTGAATTGAAACATTTTCTTACCTTGAGGGGGAACTGTTGGGTAACCTCAGGAACATACACACTACTTCCCTTCTTCATGTGGAGGGCAACCACGACAAAGAACTCAAATAATTGCCACTCCTGAAATTCGATGAGATCTCTCTCTAAAGTCCGATAGCGACTCTTTTGTTTCAGCATGGATTTGACCAACACAAGGCGCTGGCTGTGAGCTGTGGGTGGGGCGGAGGTGGGAATTAATTTCATTGCATTTGATGATGTATCATTTCATAATCTGTTTCAGTAACTGACATGACCATGAGTATTTATTTAGAATACAGTAATTTATTATCTTGTTCAAACTCAACTGTAGCATTTATTAACGGATGTAACCCACTTATGATACATTGATCTGAAAGTGTCTGAAAGAGTTAATACTGAGGATCGCCGTTAGCATCACATGCTATGATGATGTCACATGGACTTGATGAGAAAACAGTTTCGGATCTCAAAGGACGTGAGACCAGGTCTTCACATGTCCAGGTTCTCCTCACAGACTCTGTATCTATGCTTAAACTATTCTAATTATAATAAAATACTTTTTGCCTAATACAAAAGCCTCCTCTAGTTAGAACAGGAAATGATTTACTTGCCCAAACTAGACCAAACTGGCCTGTGGACCCCTACCCTTAAAGACGATGGTAACATCAAACCTACCATATGGTGAGGGGCAGGCTCAGTTTAGCTGGACATATACACCTTGGTAGACAACAGTACGGATTTGATTTCACCACACATACCACTATTCAATGGTGAAAGTGTTTGACTGGGTTAGATCACTTAACATGGCCATATTTTATCATTACCTGAATTTATTAAACTCATAAGAATGGTGTACCCATACCAATATATCCTGAAACTGACTAGAAGCTGTGCAGCTGAAGTTTATTGATTCACATTCAGAGACCACAGCAGATCAGTAACATTACAGTTCAGGCTTGGTGGGCCAAAGGGCTCGTTCCTGTGCTGTAGTGCGATTTGTTCTTCGAAAATTCTTACATCATCACCAACCCTCACCTTTTCACCTCCAGCAAGTGATTATGCTAACAGGTCAGGCCTTCTAACTTCCAACTAGATGAAAGTAGATTTATCCTCAGGTAAAACTCCAAATTCAGATCTATAAACAGGGAAATGGACCTAAAGGTTTTTTGTGATGCGCAAGTTTCTAAAGGCTCACAATCAGTTCCACAAGATTATAGAAAAAGCCAGCAGAGTATTGGTATAAATTGCCAGGATGAGGCAATATAAATCATAGATTACACAGTAGCTGTTGGGTGGGTGGGAGCATTGCGTTATGATGCTTACTCACAACATGACAGTGTGGAACAGTTTGGATGAGCCAGCTGATCCTATCTTGTAAATCAATTGTGTATGTTTGTAAGACTTACAAATTTCAAATTTAAAATTATCTCTGGCCTCTTAAGCAGCCAAATCTTTGCCTTATTTTTGGCAGCTATGTCTCAACTATCTAGCCCCATAGTCAGAAATTACCTCCCTACACCATACTACTTCCAGCTCTGTCTCTTTTCTTAAGATCATACTTCAAACCTCTTGGGCTAGAATTTTGGCCAAGCCCTCCTAATACCTCCATTTTTGGCTTGACATTTTTTTTTTGATTGTACACAGGTGAAGCACTTTGGAATATTTTCTTACATTGAAGGAGTTACATAAATGCAAAATGCTCTTTGTTAAACCTACATTGCTGGCAAAGGTTGTAATTTAAGGTGGTTATTGATCTTTGGATTTTCAATCCACCCCGGGAGCCCTGCAGGCAGTGAGTTGAGTCCAGGTTCAGGATGTTTTACCTGGGCACTCTGGTGCTCTAGCATTCACCCAATCATTTGGAACCACAAGGAGGCAGCAGCCAAACGTACAATAAGTCAATATCGGTTACTGACCCTATTCAGTGTCTGCCAGGAAATCTGTGAAAATTGTGGATGGGGAGGGGCAACAAAAAAGAAATAGAGATCTAGTATTCATGTATTCTAGTTTCTCAATCCTGATCTTTCAAACTGGTTACAGATAGTTCTGCTATAATGCGTATTTCATTAACGTGAATTGGCTGTAACGTGATTGATGAATAGTGTATGCTGTTTGGATTACACAAACTTTCTGCTGTACAGGTGTAGCAATTTCTCTATAACATGACTTTCAATGGCGATTTTCTATAGTGCGATTTTCTAAAGCGTGAGGTCATGCTAGAACGCAACTATCGCGTTGTAGGAGAACTACCTGTACAAGAATCAAGAAACTGTACCCTCATCGTCACATTTAACTTGGGTAACCAGTACACAGTTCCTTGTAAAATAATAAATATTGCTACTTTTCATTCCCTTTATTTGTCAAGCAAGATGTTGTTCAGAAAGACAGAAAATATATTTAATAGAATAGATTATAATTATTTTTCAGTTTGTACAGGACTTACCTTTAAGTTTCTCTTCAGTCTCACTGTCAGTTTCACTGTTTTCATCTGTAACTGAATTGACACAAGAAGTTATGTTAAGGAAGGTCTTTTGATACAAAGTTAGTTGGTAACTAAGGCAAGGCAGTAGGATCATCATAAATTTCAAACGTACACTGAATAATTTCGCAGCACCAGCTCTTCCCATAAGTAGATCCTACATCCCTAACGATCAGGAGTTTATCTTAATCATTGTATGACTTGATAACTTTTTGGTAGTTTTTGGGAGTCATAAGAACCCTTTATTATATGGATCGGATGCTATAATCTTGAGTGCTTCTTCAATCATTTGAAAGTTAGATTAATTAAAACATTTGAGCCAAATGGACTGGTTTAACTTATAAACCAAATAGGGAAGGGGATAATGCTTTGTACTGTGCACTATAATCAGAAAAATAACAAAATATACTTCAATAGCACCTTTTTTCGTGGGCACAACATTCATCTATTGTTAGGTTTATCATGAACAATAAATGACAATGTGCTGTACAACAGTTTGATACCAATTATACAAAAGCAGTACCTCTTCCTGTGCTGGTTTCTGAAGACTGAGTGATCCTCTTCACTTTCTTTCTCCCCCTCCTGGCTTCATAGATTGCATTAATTTTCAGTACCACCTGCATTAGGCAAACAGCGAGGAATCAATGGTGATCTAAGATTGAGGGATTAACATTTGTAACTGATGTGCAACAATCTGTATTCAAGGAGTTTAAAGGACATTTCATTTGGGTTCAATTCATTTTGTTGCACAGAGGCAGCAGTGGGCATTTTTGGAAGATATTACATCATCCACGTCAAGGATGGCTACACTATTTCAATTTTCACGGAGTCAACTAAAATCAGTTTCTTTTGTTTTTCTCACTAACTGCAGCAGACAAATTCAGATGATTATTAACACTGTCACTCAAATTAATTGAAAAGAATCCCCTGTAGGCAGACGAGTACCTTAGGAATTTTCTTCCTTCTCTTTAATACTTGAGAGTCTCCTGCCAGGCTCAATGTGTCATCTGGACTGCTGGGAGTAGATGGTGGGCTGGCTTTTGGTGGTGAGCTTATTCCATCTTTATTCATTTTTCTCAGATCCAGCAATTTGAAACTTCTTCTCTCTGAGGAGTGTCGAAAAAGGGAGGGAGTCTTCACTGGAAGCTGTGAAGAGAAGATAGATCTCCATTTTAACCGTCACAATGAATAAAACTCACCAATGAATATCATTTATCAGCATTACAGCACAAATACATGATGCCTAGAACAAATGTTTCCACTATTGGACTGCTTGGATCAAAATCTGCCCAAAAGGAATTGAAGTAATGATGTTTAGGTAGTTCTACACCTGTAAGATAGACTTTCACATATTCCCAATCTGCTTAACGTATCAGAAATAAAAAATGAAAATGTAGCTCTGATGGCAAATCCTCCTGACTAAAGGATGCTGGTTCATTCAAGTCCCAAAAGGGCTCCAGCTCTAGGTATAAAGTAATGGATTTCAAAAGATACAAAAGATCAAAATTCAATTCTTGAGAACTTTAGATGAATCTTGATTCATTTTATTGATCAATTTGTGTTTGATTTCCTTTGGCCTGCTGATTGAAGTGCTCAGTAATTACACAACAGTTTGGTAGGATGCATAGGAAAAGCTGACTAGACCCATCAGTCTGCAAAAGCTAACACCTATCAAGTCAACTATATAAGAATTAACAGAACTATAATTCAGCAAGTTCCACAACAAACGGGCAATTTGCTTTGGTGGACTACTGCCCAAGTGGTAAAGATAAATGCCTGCCTCATTCCCATTGCCTTTGTTAGGCCCTCTTATAGTGCAATGGTAGCATACCTACCCCTGGACTGAGGGGCCTGGATTCAAGACCCACCTGCTTCAGAGGTGTGGAATAACATCTTGAACAGGTTGATTAGAAAAATAGGTCCCATTACCTTTGTAGGAGTCTCTGGCCTAATTTCTGATGGACACCCTGGCTTAGACACAGATCCAGCTAATGAAGGATGAACTTGGATACACTGTTTTCCCAATGAGTGCCTGTCAGATGACTCTATGTCTTCATAAGGGTTTTCCTTTGGAATATCTGTGATATCAATAGAAATAATACCAGTATATTAGTCATTTAGCCTTCTCATAACTTCTTTGGAAACTTGATGCTCCTTTTCCTTCAAACTATCACCTTGCATTCTTAGTTCTGGCTGTCGTTGTTAACTTGCAAATTATTTCTAACATTGAAACTGACTTTTTAAAAAAATTGTTCAAAATGATTGCCAAAGTGGTTTTTGATACTGCTCTTTCACTGATGATCGTCTTGCAATGCAAGGTGTATCATTGAAACTCTGATCTTCAATATAATGAATCACCTCCAAAGCTTTTGACAAAGTATCTCATGCCTAAAAAGAAGCTACTATATCTAACTCCCTCCAAAAAAAAATCTTCACGGCGATCTAGTTTACTCAAGTCATTTTGTCTATGCCACAGTTGCAGATCAAACCAGTAACTCTGGGAATTACCAGAGATCTGAAATCTGTCCTTTATTCCCTCATAATAATGAATACCTCCACATTATCCAGTCCTCCCCATCCTTTAACTGATGATTCTGCTATAAGCTTTGTTAACATTAGACAACCTTTAATTTAGTCAAATGGCTGAATGACCAAACCGTTCTTGCCTCCATATTCTTTGATGTAGCAAATTAAATTTTAAATATTGCTAAAAAGTTGCCAAAGTCTTTCATGTGGCACCAATAAGATAAACACAAGAATGCCAAATTTCAAATCATCACAACAAATTGTACTTCTTCCACAGCATACCATGGCCAGAGTCAACCCACGAACCATTTCTCCATCAGTGTCCACCAGTGGCCAACATTACAGATCTCACCTACTGCAGCCAGGCATGATGACAGGGATAAACAATGAGAGTCACAATGACTGATAGCCACAGGGAAGGATGCACACGACCTTGAGCTAAACTGCTGTTCATGTTGCAGCAGGTGATAGAGTTCCTTCACCACTTTCCCACGCAATGCTCTTTGGTGAACTGCAGCTAAGAGCTCTGGACCTGTATTTCCATGTGGGGTATGGCCGCCTGTGAGATTCCCTTGTCTCCCTCTCTCTCTCAAGCTGCAGCTCCCTCGATTCTAGTCTGCTTCTTCTCATCTGACATTTCCAAATAAAATGGCAGTAAAAAAGTGCCAAACACGTTGAAATCAATCCGAATGATCCCATGTCACCAAATTAATCTCACAAATGATTTCTGTTAACTCCAGCAACCCAAAACTCCCAAAAAGCTCATAAACAGCACAAGAACATTCTAAACTAACCATCTATTCATTCATCTGATAGCAGCTCATGACCCCTTTAAATATAGAAATGACAGCGTTCAGAGTTGACTTAATATAACATTAGAGATGTTGGAAATGTAATTAGGTCTGAAACGAGCAGGGGATCCTAATGAGCAATGTTAAATAACTACAGTACTCAAAAGAATGTGATGAATGCTAAGAAAAACCCTGATTCAAAGTTATGTGAGCTCATTTTGTGTGCCAATGACATGTGCAAGTTTGAGAGTCTACTGCATTTTAAAAGTATATCTGGAGGTAAAATAGGTGCTCAAATTCAGTTAAAAATTAATTTTCAAAAATACCTGAAAAAAAAATCAATATATGTATTGCATTAGATCCTTCATGAATTTAATTGCAAACTCAAATGGATGTTTAGGCTCTGTGCTACTCCACCAATTATTGGTTCTTACTTGATATCAGGTCCGAAAGGTTCTCTTCTCTCATAGGATTCTGGTCTGAGTTTTCCCAATATCAATTCAATATTTTATCTTGGATCATGTTAGAAATCAGGTTGACAGTCTGAACATTAGATGAGTTAGTTCCCAGTTTCCAAGTCTTACCCAGGATATCTTCATAGATGTTTTCCTCTGATACAGTGTAGTTCAGTGCGAACTTTGATTGAGCATACCAATCCACTTGCCCATTTCTGCAGAAATTAGGAGATTGCTGCCTTTGAAAATCTTTTATATCTTCAAACTCAAAGGATTTCCGACTGTGTCAATGAAAACAGATGATAGCTTTGATTCACACACTGGTTAATGTATTACTCCTCAAAGTACTAAAACAGTTAAAATAAAAAACAAGGAAGTTATGCTAAACCTTTATAAAACACTGGGTAGGCCACAGCTACAGTAGTAGTCAATTCTGAGCACATGCTTTAGAACCATGTCAAGGTCATAGAGTGCAAAATAAATTTACTACAATGATACTAGGGATATAGGGCAACAGGTACTTGGAGAGGCTAGAGCTGTTTTCTTTAGCAGAGAGGAAGTAAAAGGAGAAGGAGAAGACAAGAGGTGTTCAAAATCATTAAGGGTTTTGATAAAGTACAGAGAAAGTGTTTCTAGTAGCAGTAGAATTCGTAATCAAAGGGACAAAAAAACCAGAAGTTACACGCAGAAATTTTTCTTTTACATAGCATGTTATGATTATCTAGAAAACAATGCATGAGAGGGTGGTGAAAGCAATTTCAATGGTAACTTTCAAAAGGAAACTAAGGAAAAATGAAGGAGAACTATGGTGAATGAGAAATTGGTATGGCTCGATGGATGACAATGTCGAAGATCCAATATAGGACCAATGGAATGAATAGTCTCCTCTGTGATGTATCTCATGTCTTCCCTTTATATTGTATTGTCAGGTCACTTTATCATGGGTTTGAGACAAAATAAAACTTACTTTACTCAACAATGTGGCTTAGAGAGAGTTGGGTCATTATATAAATGCAACCAATCATTCCTCGCACTAACTATCCGGTAGCATTTTTAAAGAAAAATAGCAACATTTAAAAAATATTCTTTCATGAGATGTGAGTGTTGGTGGCAAGGTCAGCATTTGGTGCTCATCCCTAACTGCCTGAGATGGTGGCAGTGAGGTGCCTTATTGAACAGTTTCAGCCCAATTGGTATAAATACCCCCCAGTCCTAACTGTTAGCAAATTAGTCTTGAATTGTGATATGAGTTCATTAAGAACTACCTAGAGATTGCCTAAATTCAATTTACTGGGGATTATTAAAATAGTAGAAAAAAGTCACTTCTATCCAATGAGACCAGAATACATTGAACCAGAGTTGCAGAGGGGAATGTGAGGAAGCATAAAGATTTAAGTTATCGAGAGTGAAACTCTTTTTAAAATATTTCTCTTCTCTTGATTTAGCCTTCCCATTTAACACATCATCCCAGAGCACAATCAAAGTTGATAGAAGACCAGAATCCAGTAGATCCACAAAAGATGATCATTTTAGGAATGATTCTTCATTTTACTCTTTGTGGGAAAATATCTGGCCTCCCACTATCACTTTTCAATGGATCAACTGAAATTAGTAGTTCAATACGCGGAAAATTCAAACAGAAATAACTTGCCATGTTGCAGAACTATCTGCAGGGGCTCCAATGCGCTGGTTTACTTTATTATTCTGGTTTACTCCCTTACTGTTTTAGATCTTCATATTTCAGTACATGTACATTGCAGGCTTCTAACTCATGGCTTTAGATAGCTTCCATTATCCCACCAAGACTAATCTTTCTGATAACACAAGATGCCTGCTTACCGGTTATCCTTACTGTTTATCTTTGGTTTCCCATTTAGTGCCCCTGTACTGACCGTAGGGGGAGGTGACAATGGCAAAGGTGGGGGAACGGTTGGTAAGTCTGGTAATTGCCGGGTGCTCTTCCTTAATGAATGCAGACCAGCCATTTTTTCTGTCCCATATTCAAAAGTTCGCCTAGGTTTGGGCACAGGATTCACTGCAAGCTCCTGTTCCAGAGTTCCAGGTTCTGAGTAGATATTCTCCACATTTCTAATTTTACAGCTTGCCCAGGAAACCTTCACCTTGTCCAGCGTCCCAAAGCTCAGCTCACTTGCTTCAGAATCAGAATTGGATTGGATATGCTTGCGCTTGAGCTCCGAGCTACAGCTGCCATCCTTTTTCTCCTTAGATGGTGTTGGCCCCTGGGCAGCCAATGCCTCCTGAAGTCTCTGAGGGGTATAGTAATCACCTGGCAGCTTAAGTTGGCTTGAAGCTGAATCTTCCTTTGCCTTTTCTTCCAGCTTCTTGATGTGACTCAACACGTTTGTTCGGTCCCTTTTCAAGGGCTGTGTTGTCACAAATTTAGTACAGGTCACCTCTTTTACCTTTCTGCCAACTTGCTGTGTCAGATCAGACTTTATCATCTCATTCTGCTGGCATCCAGACAATCTGCTTTCAGTCTCCAAGGACCCAGCCTTTCCATCATCTACCTTGTATTCATTCTCTTTCCCAGCATCTTTGCTGTCTAAGTTCCAAACTTTTGAATGTTTACATTCAGTCTTTTTAAGGACATTCCCTTCAACTTGTTTCACCAGTTCCAACTTGTCAAGTTCTTTTGCTTCTTTATTTTCCAATTTTTCTTTATTTGCTGAAATCACTGTTTCCTTCTTACCCTCCCATTCTGAAATCTTTTGCTTGATACTTGGATTCCTAATAATGATGCTTGTTTTATTGGGGGGATATCTTTCATTGGAAGTACTCTTCAATGGTTTCTGCATGGAAAGTTCATTTTCAGTGACACTGTTGATATCCAGGCTTGGGCTGCTGGTGCCAAGTTTTGGATTCAACATTTTCTGCTCACTACCAGCTGGTCTTGACTTTGAAAGGCAATTATTGACTGGCTTTAAGGGACACTTCACCTCCGTGTTGTCAACTGCTTGTGTACCAATCAGGACTTTCGTTGAACTCTTTTTAGTGGAGCTCCGGTGCAGATTACCAATACTTTCAGGTTCAAAACTTGATGGTTCCTCGACAAAGAAGACAAAGTTCTTACCAGCTGTTCTGACCCTGGAAGATAAAAAGATTTGCATTATAATCCAGAATAGTATATAGTGTCTGCTGTGTCTTACAGAAACACATGTGGTAGTCCTTAGGTGGCATTTGATTATATAGATCTCAGAACTTTCTGGTTTTGTTTGTTAATCCTACATTTAGACCACAACAGAAGCTATCACTATGAGCATTAGTTTGTCTCTCCATGTTGGCCATATAATATTTTATATACACTGGTCATGTAGCAGTGTGAGCTGCTAATTTGAGACAATAGAGTCTAGAAACATTAAATGTTGCCCACAGGCCTGGAGATTGATAATCTGATAAGGCATTTCATTTCTATTAAAGACCTAGACCTTGGTGTCCAGGGCACAATGTCAAAGCTTGTAAATTATATAAACTTTGGATGCATTGTGTACCTTGAGGAAGGATCATGTAGAACTTCAAAAGAACATAGACAAGACAGACAGGTGGCAGATGAAATTTAAAGCAGAGAAATATGAAGGGACTCAGTTTGATAAGAGTGTGGAGAGACAGCATAAAACAAAGGGCATACATAGGGATCTGGGTATATATGCAGATAAATCATTGAAAATGGCAGGACTTGGCATATGAAAGCAAAGAGGTTTTGTTAAACTTGCATGTAGCGCTATCCGGGCCTCCGCTGGTGTATCACTTCCAATTTTATGTGCCACACTGTAGGAAAGATGCACAGATATTGGAGAGAGTGCAGAAAGGATTCTTGTGAATGGTCCCAAGAATGAGGAACTTCAGTCATTTAGCTAGATTGGATAAGTTGTGGATGCTTTTCTTGGAGAAGTTTCAGAAGAGATTTGATAGAGGTATTCAAAATCATGAGTCTGGACAGAATAGATAGGAAAAGTCAATTGATGGAAGTATTGACAATAAGAGGGCACAGATTTAGGATAATTGGTAAAAGCAGCAATAGCAACAGGAGGAAAATCCTTTCCATGCAGATTGGTTAAGATTTGGAATGCACTCATGGAGTGCATGAAAAAGGCAAATTCTGTCAAGACATCCAAAAGGGAATTGGTTTGTTATCAGAATAATGTGCAAGGCCATGGGGAGAAGACAGGGCAATGGCATTCATGAAATTGTTCTATGAGAAGCTGGCAAAGATATGATAGGCTGAATGGCTCCTTTACTGCTGTAACAGTTCTGTGATTCTAAGATGCATTGTCATTGTTTATACTGGGCTATCACTTTGAATATATTTTCAATACATCACCCCTGCATAAGCACCAACTCTTATGTGTCTCCTCCCATCTTCAGGCCCAATAATCACCCATTTGCTTTCATGGGTACAGTTGTAAACTAATTTTTGGTTAGACAGGAATCCAGTAAACAAGCATTTCTCTTTCAACATTGCTACCTGGAACAATCTAAGAGGACCTACCTTGCATCCAATGATTTTTACAGGCATGTAAAATATTATGCAGTACTTACAGCACAGAATCAGGCCACACAACCCATTAGGTCCATGGTGGTATTCAAAATGTGTGTCGATGATACAAAATTTGGAAAAATTGTAAATTGTGAAGAGTATAGTTTGGAACTTCAAAAGGACATGGATAAGTTGAAGGTCTAGGCAGTCTGGTGGTAGATGAAGGTCAATATGGAGAGATGTGAGGGGATTCATTTTGGTAGAATAAATGTGGCCAATATACGATAAGAGTGCATCTCTAAAGTGAGTGCGGCAGCAGTGGCACCTAGTCATGTGTGCACGTAAGTCATTAAAGAAGGCAGGTCAGGTTTAGAGTTCAATTAATAGAGTCTACAGTATCCTGGGTGTTGTGTACTTGTATACATATGGTGGACTTGAAGAGTCTGATCATGTGACATAATAATGACATAATCAGTCACGTTGGGAGAGAAACAGCTTCATCTAACCTTGCTGCCTATAGAGTGAATACCTCCTTAATAAAGCTCCTGCTGTTAACACTTTGGCTTCCTATTCCTTCCTGGAACATTAAATTGGGCTTAATTAATAGGTGCATTGAATAAGAATAAATAGATTATGTTGTACATGAATAAAACTAGTTCAACATTACCTGGATCCAGTCTGGGCACTAAGCTTTAGGAAGGATGTGAATGCATTAGAGAGAGTGCAGTGGTGGTTTACAAACATGGTTCCAGGAATGTGAAACTTTGGTTATGAAGATATATTGGAAAGGTTAAGACTGTTTTCTTTGGGAAGCGAAGACTGTTTGGAGATCTGATAGAGATATTCAAAAGTTATAAGAAGTCAAGACAGAAAAACTGTCTGCAATTGTGAAAGGATTGAAACAAGATAGTACAGATTTAAAGTAACTGGAGAAGGAAACAAAAAAGTCAGGAGGAGAAAAACCTTTTACACAGACTGTAGTTAGATCTGCACTGCATTGCCTGTGTGTGTGATGGAATGAGGTTTTGCTGAAACAATCAAAAGGGAATTATACAATTATTCTAAAGGAACAACATTCAGGGTTTTGGGGGAAGGCAGGAGAAAAATACTGAGTGAAACGCTCATTGGAACAGCCAGTGTAGATATGATGGGCCAATGGCCCCTTGTGTTGTAATAATTTCGATTTCAGTCCAAACTCAGTAGCCACCTCAGATTTAATGGTGGGCTGTTTTCTGCACGTTTTCAAATGCAATAGAATACATGGAACTAGAATTGGGTTTAATTTCAATTGTATTTCAGGAGAATTCCAAAAGTGAGACCACTTTCCACCTCATTCTTGACACATCAGAATATTTCTGCTAATCCCCACTGGAAACAAACATGGAGAACATTTTAGACATTGTTGCCTTTTGTATCATTATCAAAATACCATTATGATGTAGTCATTTAGAAATAGTATAAGGCCTCATAGTCTCTTCCTTGGATTAGTCAATCTGAGTCAACTTTGGCCTAGTCACCCCTAGTGAACTTTCTGTCAAAATGTAATTCATTTATCTCACCATATACTGTATGAGAGATACATAAAACGCAGCAATAAAACTCCTGAACATGGGTTGTGTAACAATATTGAAGAACTGTACACACAGCTGGCAGGATAGCAGTTCGTAGAATAAGATCTTATTTGACACCCTACGAACAGCTTCTTCAAAAGGATGGTACAGTGTATCAGTGGCTAGCACTGCTGCCTCACAGCACCAGGGACTCAAGTTCAATTCCAGCCTCAGGCGACTGTCTGTGTGGAGTTTGCACATTCTCCCCGTGTCTGTGTGGGTTTCCTCCGGCTGTTCCCGTTTCCTCCCACAGTCCAAAGATGTGCAGGCTCGGTGGATTGGCCATGCTAAATTGCCCATAGTGTTCAGGGATGTGTAGATTAGGTGGGTTATAGGGGAATGGGTCTGGCTGGGATGCTCTGAGTGTCGGTGTGGACTTGTTGGGCCGAAGGGCCTGTTTCCACACTGTAGGGATTCTATGATTCAGGACAAAGCAGACCCCTTGATTGGAATTCCATCCAGCACTGCACACTTGTGTTTCAAAAGTGTCATCAACAAGACATACTAAAGCAACTCACCAAAGGCTCTTACACAGCACCTTCTAAACCCATAGCATCTATTGTTTAGAGAAAGGAGATCAGCTGATGTTTAGGAACATTACCACCTGCAAGTTTTGCTTCTGACTTGGGAGAATATTATCATTTCTTTACTGTTGTTGCATCAAAGTCCTGGAGGTCGCACCGCTGCCTTCCAAAAGCATCGCCCAGACCATTCATAAAGAGTTTGAAAAAGTGGTTTAACATCACCAGCACCCTAGTCTTGCAGCAAGCCTTACATCCTATGGATGAATGAAAAAAGGAGATCCTGCTCCCTACCACCACCATTTCCCCCTCTTAACCCATTGCTACACAATCCAATGCTGAGAACGCTACTTCCCACACCCCCCCGAAAACACTACCACCACCACCAGATTTGTGTACAAGATGGGACTAACTCAATCTCGGACATGCATCTCGTACACTTACTAAGCAGCTTGAACTGATATTGCGTGTATTGCTGCAGAATGAAACACACTGATACCCGTTATATTAGATCGTATGTGTTACAGAATTTAAAGAACCAAGAAATCAGATTCTCTTTAGGAATTCGCTCGAGGATTTCTGTGTAGTTCTTAGCTTTAGTTTGAGAGATTACCAGACCAAAGTTTTCCAGTATCTCATGCAGGAATGGATTGACAGTGTGCCTCTGGTATGGGCTGACTTTTCTCTTTGTTTAAATGCTGAGAAGGTCATCAGTATCCTGCAAAGAGAAATATAAAAGGAGGACCCTAACTGTACTTTCCCACAGTGCTTATGTCTTCCATTGAGGCTTGCCAGCTGTGTGTACAGTTCTTCAATATTGCTACACAACCCATGTTCAGGAGTTTTATTGCTGCATTTTATGTATCTCTCATACAGTATATCGTAAGATAAATGAATTACATTTTGACAGAAAGTTCACTAGGGGTGACTAGGCCAAAGTTGACTCAGATTGACTAGTCCAAGGAAGAGACTATGAGGCCTTATACTATTTCTAAATGACTGCATCATAATGGTATTTTGGTAATGATACAAAAGACAACAATGTCTAAAATGTTCTCCATGTTTGTTTCCAGTAGCGATTAGCAGAAATATTCTGATGTGTCAAGAATGAGGTGGGAAGTGGTCTCACTTTTGGGATTCTCATGAAATACAATTGAAATTAAACCCAATTCTAGTTCCATGTACTTTATTGCATTTGAAAACGTGCAGAAAACAGCCCACCATTAAATCTGAGGTGGCTACTAAGTTTGCACTGAAATCAAATTACTGATGCTGAGTTTCCTGAGTGTTGTTGGAACTGTCTGGGTCCATGCAAGTGGAGGGTATTGCATCTCACTACTGAGTTGGACCTTGTAAGTGGTGAAGAGCTTTTGAGATTTCAGGAGAACTCCTAGCCTCTGATCTGGTTTTGGCCACTGTATTTATCTGTTAGGTTTCTGGTCAATGGTAAATCCCAGGATGGTTTTCATGCATGCTGTT